AGAGACTGGAATCCATTAAGAAAAGAAAATTGAGCTCAACCAGTCTCACACCACTCAAGATGAGATAGTCTTTATGTGCTGCTACTGTATTATTCTTCTGCAGTTTCTGAATGCTCTTAAAAAAAGCAAAACATTAAAGAAAGGACGCATGTTGGTTAAATGAGCAGTGCTTTCCATTATGGAGAGACGTTGACCTGTCAAGAAATAAAATGGAATACTGAACATTTTGCAACTATGCTCTCTTTCTCATCCTCATTATATAATTTTCTTTCTTTGTATTGCCTACCACACATGTCACATCAGTAAAGTTACCACCCGTCACTTCTTATCAAGTGTCTTCTGATGAGTCAGGTGACAGAAGCATACAATTTGGTTCTCAAAACACTTTGATTGTCCTTTACTTTCTTTCTTTTAAAATTCCAAGTGATATGGAGCAAAATGTCCCTAAGGCTATTATTCTTTCCTTTCTGAAGTATAGTTTTTTTAATCTACCCTTATTCCCAGAGATGCTAGTTGTATGCTTGCCAAGGTGGATAGAAACTGATAAATGATTAAGCACACTTTCACACTGAAGCTCCATTCCCATGTGCCCTTTGTAACATGGCAGGTGTGAATCAAACCTTTGGATACAATTCTTCATAAAATGTTCACAGACAAAATCAAAAATTTTCATATGTTTTCTCCCATGTTTATCAGCGTTTTGACTTTTTAATATTTGTTTGTTTGTTGAGACATTCATCTAAAAGGTTTTTGATTTTTAAAATTTAAAATAGACCACATTGTTTTATGAAAAAAATGTTTCCACCTAGAAATGATTTTCTATGAAAAAACCCACACTTTTGCAATTTTTAAAGCAAAAAGTGATGACATGTAAACAGACAAATGATTGGCTAATTTTGAATATGGTGCCTTATGCTGGATATTATTTATATCCCTAGTTAGCTACATCCCTAATTAATGTTAATGGTTAGTTACACATACAAAATGGATTTGTAACAATTGTCTGGTTGGTTCTCAAACTGCCAATGAAAGAGTGATTGGTACTGCCATTGCAAATGGATCTCTGTTTACCGTGTCTATTGCATTAATACCAATGTTTCTCCAGTGAATTAACAGAATCATAGAGTTAGAAAGTGACCTATGGTCCATCAGATCCAATCCTTTGCTCAAAGCAGGATTTCCAGCGTAAGCATCCTAGCAGATAAATGTCAAGAAGTTCCTTTTAATGTTCAATCAAAATTTTACTTTCCTGTAACTTCAAACCACAAGACATAGAGGTCTGAAGCTACCCTCTGAGGTAGTGGTGTTAAACCTTGAGATATTTAAAGAGAGCAAGCATATCACTCTTCCATCTTCTTTTCACCAACTCCTTCCACCTGTCCTCATATGTTTTGTTTTTATTCACTTTATTCTCCTTCTTGGAACTCACTCCAATTTGTCAATATTCTTCTTCAATGAGGCACCCAAAAAGGCCTGACCAGTGCAGAATATATTGCTAACTATTGCTAACTTGTACAATAAATGATCAAAAACAATTCTAATATCTTGGACTTTGGGAGCATGCCTGGGAGTGAATGTTCTCCCTCACTACCTTTCATGGTGAGGGAGAAGCAATTAGCAGATAAAAAGCTAGTTTTGGGGTTCCAAAACCAGCAGAAATGTCCCATTGGTATAAAAGGCTATAGAACAGTGGTTCTCAACCTGTGGATCCCCAGATGTTTTGGCCTTTAACTTCCAGAAATCCTAACAGCTGATAAATAGGCTGGGATTTCTGGGAGTTATAGGCCAAAACACTTGGGGATGCACAGGTTGAGAACCACTGCTATAGAAGATCATTGGCCTTTCCCCCATCAGATGCCATCAAATGTGGGTAGCTACATTGGAGCTACTCAAAACCCTCTTACCTCTCCTTCATGGGTGAGGAAGCATCATGCAACAATTCCACACCACTTTGGGAGGAATAGGGGTGGGGCAAAGCTAGCATCGTCTGAGGGCGCTCAGCAAGCTCTGTCCTGAAGAAGAAAAAAGGGCCAAAAACCCCCAGTGTGATGAGATGCTTAGTCTATATGTAGGTAAGTCTATTGTCTTACCTACATAGTTAAAGAAGACCGAGATAAAATGTCCCTCCATCAGCATTATAAATCAACCTTAATGAAGAGTGAATATTGAGAACTACCTCAAATGAAGGCAAATTTACTACTTCTTATTTATATGTGTTAAAATTCAACCAAAAGATTTAAGAGCCAGCTTATTAGCTCTCCCTTTCTTTTGATGTTGGAAGTTGAACTTTTCCGGGTTTTTTTTTTGGGGGGGGGGGATGTCAATGGCCAGACAGCCTCAACTTGAAAACAAATTATCACTAATTGCATGATCCTTTTTATGACCAAAGACCTCATGGATCTGGAGAAGATCCTTGCCATATGGAAGTTTTCTTACTCAGCTACATTTTCACATTGCACTGTATGGGTGAATTAGACAGTAATAGACAGTTGTAGACAGTTATAGCAGTATGCTTCCACTTTAACAGCCATAATTTTATCCAATAGAAGTTTTGATTTGCAGTTTAGGAAATGATATTTAGAATTCTCTACTAGAGAGCTTTAGTGTCTCACCAAACTACTGACCTCAGCATCCTATAGGATGCAGTCACAGTAGTTAAAGTGGAATCATACCACAATAACTAGATAATGTGAAAAGGCCCCAAGAATTTCAATTTCCTGATTCATTTATTTTTTGCAGGATAGATTAAGAAGGGCTTTATTGGGGTAATCAGTCATTTCACGCTGCTGGTCTTTGAATACACAAGCTGACAGATTGCAAAGAAAGTTGGGGGAAATATTATCCACCATGCTTTATTCTTTGATCTTGTTTACAGTTCAAAGCACTACACTTCTCCATTCCCCAAACACACTGATAATATTTACATTATTGTCCTCTAAATGTTTTTACTATTCCTCCTCATTTCCTCATTCAGCTAGTAGAACTCATTGTCTTCCTTCCTTTTTTCAAAATTGATGAAGCAGAAGCCAGAGTTAACTGCCAAATGAATGAACAGGCTGAGAGCATCATTTACTCTTCTGCCTAAGAATAATGCAGTCTTTTGTTAGTTACTTCTTTGCAGCTCAGACAATTATGAGCAATTCTTGGCCTGAGACCACCTTGGAAAGATTCTGGTTGTATTTCAACATTTATTTAATCCTGGGAATGAATCAGGGATTTTTGAAAACCAGAGAATTGGCAAAATGAAATATCAGTTGTTTACATCACTATGCATATTCTAAAAAAAAAAACAACAAAAAACCAGACATTACTTTCTAAACTATTTAACCCCTCCCTCAAATAACATACATTCATGCTGTGTCCCAATTTCTTCTGACTGCTGCAGAACTGACCAACAATGTCTGGGTTTTTACTATGTCTTTTTTGAATGCACAACTATGTATCATCTCAGCTATTTCTTTCCATGGGATGAGGGATTATTAATTATCTGGAAAAGAAGAGATAAAAATAATAAGATCTGTGTAGTCCATAAAATATTACTTCTGTTATGTTACTTTGGAAGATGATGAGAAGATAAGCCCTTCTATTACAGTAACAGAATGTTTAGGACAATTGGGAGCACAATTATTTATATTCAAGATGGGCAGAAGTAATTATTTATATTTAAGATGGGGAGAAGTAATTGTTGTCATCATTGGCATTGATTGAGACAGTGAAAGGGAAAATAAGGTATTTATTTAACTATATTTTCAAGAAGCAAAAGCGTACAAAGGAACCCAGATACCTTGAATGAACCCATGGCCATCTTATGTACAACACCCTTTTGCAGGAGTCAAAGATAGTTTGTTAGATTATAAATAGCTGACTTGGAGGTCAATAGGATTAGCCTCACATAACAATGCTTAGGATGTCTCTTTCTAAAGTTGCAGTATTTTAGCTTATGACATCAGCTGATATGCTGAAGAGCAAATTATATGTTTGCAGCTGCTCTACAAAGTCTGTTATTTCACTGAAAGTCCTCTTCCCATGACCAAAGACCTCATGGTTCTGGAGAAAAGAAATATTACTAAGTCCCTGCCCATCTGCTTAACCTTTTGTTGACTTCATTATGTGAGCAATTCTTTCTGTTCATCTGCTGGGATTTGTGGAGATATGAAATCCATTAATTTAAGGTGCGTGATTTGTTTGACTGAAGGTGGCTGGAGAACTGTTCATGCACTTCCCTATTTATCCTTCCCTTGAAATGTATTTTCTGAAGGTTGCTCACTTTTCTCACACTTCATGGGTGTTAAGAAGGTCACAGACAGGCCACTGTTTAAAAAGCTAGGGAATACAATACTAATCCATGGAGGACAGGATGATGTGATACGTATGATAAATGGCTAAGACAAGTGATTAGAGCCTGGATTAATCTGTGATTAGATACTGTGACTGAGCTCATAGACATTTGGAGGTTCCTGAGAGGCCATTCTCAGCATGGTGGTAATCATTATGCCAGAAACGAGAGAAAGATTTGTTTAAAAAACACACACACAACCGATGTCAGTTCTACCAGCATAAAAATTTAAAACACAAAATGATCTACAAAACTCCCAAGTTACCCTTCAAAATGTAATATTCAATTTGCCCTTCAATCATATTTGTTTTTACTGTGTCTAACCAGGATAATTGGTTGTTTTTCTTGTCTTGAACCATGACAAACTGTCCTACTATTTCCATTGTTGTGTTTGAATCATATAAATCAGAGCTTTTCAGCAAGATCTATTTCCCCAAGTTAATGTAAAAACAACAACAACAACACAAGGCTTGTTTTTCAACATTAGAATATCTTAAGAAACCACTGGCCATAAAACAAATCTCATTACACAGCAATCCAGAACCTTTTTCCTGAAGCTCATGTAATTCCACCACACAAACTTTTGAGTTTCATTAAAAACAATTGCACCAGAAATACAAATATTGCTCAGCAACTTTAAATTGAAATATGATGAATTACTCACCAGGAATGGTGTTTTAGATATGGAACTGTACCTCCTCCTTGCTCAATAGATGAGGGAGTCTAAACTGGTGCAGTATTCCTTTATAGGTCTGGCTTTACCTGCAAATGAAGGGACACCGTAAATAGTTGTTACTCACAGTTTAGAATTAAATGTTTTACCATCTATTACACATAGATGCAGACTTGATATATGCTATCTATCTATCCATTGATAAATTGACTGATCAATCAATAGATGGATAGATATGAAACCCCAAGGAACATGTGAAGTTCTTCAGGTTCCATTTTGTCCCTCATATTTAACGTAACAGTGAAACCACTGGGAGAGGTCATCTGGAGTTTTGGAGTGTGGTGCCACCTATATGCAGATGACACCCAATTCTACTACTTCTTCCCATCTAAAGCCAAGGAAGATGTCCTGACCTTAAACTAGTGCCTGTCATCAGTAATGGGCTGGATGAGGGCAAACAAATTGAAACTCAATCCGTACAAGACAGAAGTGCTCCTGGTCAGTTGGAAGGCAGATTAGGTAATAGGGATCCAGCCTGTGGTAGATGGGGCCACCCCCCCCCTGAAGACTGCAGTTTGGGATCCTCCTGGATTCAATGTTGAACCTGGAGGTCCAGGCATCTGCAGTGGTCAGGAGGACCCCATTGTTTGTACAATTAAAACGTGTGTGCTGACTGCACCTGTTCCTTGAGATGCTGGATCTGGCCATGGTAGTACATGCCTTTGTTAACTCCCATTTGGATTACTGTAACACATTCTATGTGGGGTTGCCTTCAAAGAGTATTCAGGAACTTCAGCTGGTCCAAAGAGCTTCAGCCAGGTTGCTTACTGAGGCTGGCTACAGAGAGTGGACAACCCTCCTGTTGCAGCAGTTTGCGTCTGGGTATAATTCAAAGAGTTGGTTGTAATCTTTAAAGTCCTATATGTCTCAGGTTCAGGCTATTCAGCTGATCACATCTCCTTGTATGAACCTACCCAGGCCCTGAGAACTTCATGAGAGGCCCTTCTCTTGGTCCCACCTCCACTGAAAGCTTGGTTGGTGGTAACGGGAGAGGGTCTTCCTTCTCAGTGGCTGGTCCTCAACTTTGAAACTCCCTGCTCAGGGAAGCCAGAATGGCCCCCTCCATGCTATTCTTCCAGTAGATGTACCCAGGCCATTTCTGATAAAATGTTAATGTGTATGGTCAGCTAATCAGTCCGATATACCAAACAAAAGATTCAATTTGTGCCTTTAATAAATCAGGAAAATGTATTATATTTATAATTTATAATAAAGCAGCTAAATCAGGAAATCCCAGCTGGATGCCCCCCCCCCCCATGAGGGTCTTCCTCCAGGGGCAAACCAAGAATGGGCAACCTGGAAGTCCCTGAATAGACTCAGAAGCGGAGTGGGTAGATCAAAAGACAACTTGGCAAAATGGCACTATCTAAAAGAATCCCATACCTTGTGTGACTGTGGAGCAGAACAAACAACTCTGCATCTGTGTTTGTCCATTGTGCCCTGCCTCATGTACAGAGGAAGAATTGTTGGAGGCTACAGACAATGCCGTTGCTGCTGCCCATTTTTGGTCAAAAGATATTTAGCTGCCTACACACCTTCAATTTTTATCAGTTTTCTATTAATTTATGCAATGTTTTTGATATGAAATAAATAAATAAATAAATAAATAAAGACTCAATTCATATTTGGTTCTATGTAGAATTTCAGAACTTTCCATTGGGACTACTGTTTGAAAGTCGGATAATGAGAGGAACAAAAATGGCAAATGTCTCCATGACAAAGGGGGCACTTGTATTTAATGTGTTGAGTAGTGATCTGTAACATTAAAAGACAGAATATATGTCATCTGTGCATACACAAAATACAGGCAAAGAGACAGTGGGATGGAGATGGACATTATTCCTAGATAGTCTTTCTATGTAAAGGTCTGTTGGAAGGTGATTTAGGGATAGAGAAGCAGTAGTTTTCCATGTGCTGAAGAACACAATTCCTGTGCCATTTACCATTAGCCAATCCCATTGAACTGATAGCCTCCAAGATTTTGATAGAAGAAAACTAGGATGCATGTGGCCAAGCAACATCAAAATGTGAGCAAGATAGCAAATGAGAAAGAACACAGAAGTCAGGAAAGATCGCAGTGGGTTGCTTTTGCCTGAGCCTATGCAGATGTACAAAAGTCTGCCCTCTCCAGTCTTGCCACTGAATCTGTTCAGTGCAAACTACTTTCATACTTTGAACTCAGCAGCAATTGGTGTAAGTGAAGAACAAAGCATAAAAGTAATAGGAGGAGAGATAAACTAAGACATTTTAAAAGCAGCTGCAATAGTGGGACAACAGGACTATCCTGCTAAATTGGAGGGTATAACATTTGTAACTGGAGGGTATAACCATTTGCCTCTATATTTTTATATTAACATGACACCCTTATTTATCCTCTTTTAAAAAAAATGTTTGTGTGGCACCATACTTATTAGGTTTCTTACAATGCTGACCCTATGATACTGGACTTGTTTGTAAGGGGAAACAGGATCGGCTGCACGCACGCTTCAAAGTATTTGCTTTTTTAGTTCATAGAGCCTGCATACAAGAACAAAACTGCTTCTCAAATTTCAGGGACGAGTATCAATTTGTGGAAGAGATTCCAGATCTGGAGTTTGGCACTAGTAATCCCTGGCTGAAACTGAGCAAATACATTTGTTTGTTTGTTGTTGATGGCACAGGGTCCCTTCTGGAACTGATCCGGTTGCAAATTACATGCTTGCATATATTTCCTAGGAGCAATTATGGTAACCTTCCAAAACAGAGGAATGGGGACACATTTCAATTTTAAAGTGTAGAAAGCTAACAGTTTTTTGCGGATCATCAATTGCAGTCATGGTGTGAGATTTCTACAAAAATTTCCATAGCATTAAATTATGCTCCCAAATCTTAAAGTGATCGGAAGAGGATGGGTTCAGCAACAGTTAAGAAACATTACATTTTTGCACTGGTATGAGAAACATTTTTAAGTTTCCTATAATAGTTCTGACTGACCCTAATCTCAGGGTAACACTCTGAATAGAAGATATTGAAGGGCATTTACGACAAGAGTTTGCCTATTCGCTCATTTTGTTGTCATTGTTGGTACACATCTTACATAAAAAGCAACATCTGACACAACATTGTTATTCTTCAGATGAAATAGATAATGACTTGCAGAGGACTTCATTACACTGTTGCTAGTGCTGTTTAAGTCAGTTTTTTTTTTGCTTAAAGAAATAACTGGGGAACTGTATTATGTGCTGTTGGAGAGATGTGAATGTATTCGCAAGCAACAACTTTTAAAGGCCAGAAGTGGGGTTGGGATTTGTTTTGGGGTGGTTGGAAATAATTGTGAGTTGTTTGTTTTCTCTATGGGATATTTACTGAGCAGTGAACAGTCCTCAAAGTGAATAGTCCCTGGGTTGCATGCTAAGTAAATACAGACTATGCAAGTATTGCTGTTAGTGATGAGGCATTGCTGCCCATAATGAATAATGTTGTTCCATCTATCCACATTTTGGAAGAGCTGTGTTATGTGTTCCCAGGTGAAAACAAATGGCTTTCCCAATAATCAAGAAATCTCATCAAGAAAAAAAAGACCTGCATAGTTTTTGCAAAATCCCCTAGTGTTCAACACTTTTGAGGTGTTGCACAGTAACAATTCTATGGGTTGTTTTCATGAAAATTGTTGCCTGTGCACAAGAAACAATGTTTTCTCAACATAATAATTTCTGCACATTTAAATTTATGTTCAAATGCAAAATTTAAGGATGAAGTCCAATGTAGAAAGGAGAATCATCCAGCCTTGAAAGGTTTAAACACATAACATACAAAAAGATTGTCCAAATTGCATTGTCCAGGGAAGGAAAAGAGCTATACTATGCCTTTTTATTTTTAAAAAATATCCAATGAAAGCTTCCCCATCTAGATGCAGACAGCATTCACAGCATATAAAGGTTTTCTTTTTACCATTAAAAGTCCATAAAATAGTGTAAGTGGAGAAGAACAGGAAAAGGTATATGTTGTCGAAAACATATCCATTGGGAGCATATAACATATATCTCCATCTGGCATGACAATCAGAATACTATTAATGTGCTTTTGAGAGGGGAAATACATTTATTCTTCTTGGATGCAAAGTAGAAATTTATATAGTGAGTGCTATGGAAATGTTGCAAAAGAAGCTTAGTTGTTTTGTGGGAAAGTACTTGTGGCATTGCTTAACAACTGATTTTGTAGAAAGACTATACATGATAGTGGTTATGTGGGAAAAAAGAACCCTGGTGTTTTGCTACATGCTTTCTAGTAATAGCTTAAGTGGTTTGCCTTGCTACACCTTAAGCCTGAATTATCTACCCTATACTGTAAAAGAGCTCAATGTTTTTAAAAGACCAATTTCCTGACTTTTATTTATTTGGTTTGAGTGTGCCACAGTGACTGAAAAGTTAAATGCTGGGGGATTAATGAATCTTAACATTCACTGCATTCTGTCATTACTGTTGCTCAAATATTAAGGAATTGCAGATGTTCTGCACCAAAAGTGTAACATCATATACACTAAGGGCTATTTCAGTCTCAGCAACAATAAAGGTCCTACCTTTATCACAAGAGTAAAGTACCATATGGACAAGTCATTAAACTAAAATAGTTAACAAGTGATGAGTGACAACACATATATGAAGTGGAAAGGGAGGCCAGTGGATACAAATAACTCACAGTCTTTCTTCAGGTAGCTATTTATGCAAGTCCAAATAGAGATAATTCATTTGGAAGAGAGAGAGAGAGAGAGGGAACACAGATTTGCATTACAGTTATATTTATTCGTTTGGATGTATAGAAGATTGTAACCAGATGACCTGCGTATCTATTATTCAGACAGCTGTCCAGGTGCTGAATATTGATGGCAAAATTAAAGTCTTCACTCTCACTGTCCAGGGTTTCCTGTCTTTTAAGTCAGTTTTGAACCAGACAAAAAATGCTCTAACTCAGGGATAGGCAATTACGGCAAGCTCTGGTGCTGTGTCAGCCCTCCAGGAGGCCTTGGAGCCCCAGACTCACCTACCCAAAA